CATAGTTTCTCTTGCTGGTATGAAGAAAAATGTTTTCTAACTATAATAAATTCACATGACCATCTCGTGTAACAATATCACTGCTTTTTCTGGTTCTTAAATCCTTCTCAATGCATAAAACTCAAGAGGAGTCCTATGAATAATATTTCCTGAGGAAATAAAAAACATTTTTTTTAAATTTTGAAATATTGAGTGAGAGAGAAAACTTCTGCCAGAAGTGAAAAGTTATGCTATGTAGATATTTTCCCATGACATATCAAAATATAGTGACTTAAAAATCACATCTACCTGTTATTTTTTGCAAGGTTTTGATTCAGTTTGGAGGTCTTGCTAATCTGAATTGAGTTGGACTGACATTGCTAAAGGTTCTCTCTCCTGTATAATAAGCTTATGGGTTAGTAGTGAACTGACCAGACTTGGCTGGCTTTAGCTGGGGTGACAACCCTGCTTGATGTGGTCCCTTAGCTGCCAGGAAGCTAGTCTCAACTCATTCTCAGGTTGATGGTGAGGATTCAAGAGAGAGTAGGTCATGTCATGAACAGGACAAGCAAAAGAGCACTCTTCTATCTTCAATGAATTTTCAGCTTATATCACACTTGTTAACATTGCTTTGACCAGAGCTTGAAACGTAGAAAAGTCCATTGTCAAAGGGAAGAGCAGAAAATCACAAAGAAAATGACAGGATTTAGAAAAGAATTAATGAGACCATGAATGAAATTAGCCTACCACAAAAGATGATTCACTTGTTAATAACACTGCTGAAGACATGTCTTCTAAGACAGGGACTGATTCTCCATTGAATGGTGAAGACAGTAATAATAATAATAACAACAACAACAATAATAATGGAACAGATATAACAATGCAGAAACAGACTCACAGATACAGAGAATGGACTGTTGGTTGTCAGGAGAGAGGGGTGTGGGGTGGGGCAAAGCTGTTATAAAGGATTATGGAATACAAGCTACTATGCATAAAACAAGATACAAAAAGACCTAATGGATAGCACAAGGAAAATAGTCACTATTTTATAATAGCTTTGTATGCAGTATAATCTATAAAAATATAGAATTTCCATGCTGTACACCTGAACTAATATATTGTAAGTCTAAAAACTTCAGTTTAAAATAAAAGAACTTAGTGAATGAAATGAGGGTCATTTGGTTTTTTACCATAAAGTAATTACCATACAATAATTACTAGCTTCCTGATGGCATTTATAATGGCTAAAACTTTCAGTTAGAGGCAACCTAGGAACCTCTAAGAAATCAAAGAAAACACATATTTTGCATGATTGACAAGTCTTTCCTTCCAAAATACACTCATACTTCAATTTTAAAAAAAAAATCTTTATTGAGAGTCTGGAAATACAATTATGTTCAATTCAGAGTCATTGAAATTGAATTGGCAATTGAAATATAAAGAAACCCATGTGCCAATAGAGCTAAATACATGAATTCTATGGAGTGCTACGTAATCAGAAATTAAACTTTGCCACATATATGCCTTACTTTAAAAGTCTTTATTGAAATATAAAAATGATAAGACAAGCGCATAAAACTTAACTTTACAGCTTGATGAGATTTCACAAATTGAAAGCACTGACATAACCATCTCTGGGATGCTTTTGAATGTTTTCTCTGTGTTGTCTCTTTCTTTCCCCTTATTATTGGCAAATACTTAGAATAGCAAGTGCATGTAGTGCAAAATGTGTGGCTCACACTAGACTAGATGGCTGACAGTGTTTTTTATTCCAGATGCATTTTTCTTGGGAGACATTAAAATGTAATATACTTGTTATCAGTGCATTGCCTCTCTGCTGCAAACCACCCTTAAATGACTGCTCTGAAATAATATATCTGGACCCTGTAGATGTTTCTCCTGTGGCAGATGGCATGCTTTGTTAGTAGAGAGTACCAGAAAGACAATAGAGTAAGAAAGGAGTTTCTCTTCTAAGTCTGCTGTGTTTTCCTAGGCAGGATCCTGCACCATGTCAACTTCCAAGCTCAGCAGAGGGCATAGCTCCTCCAGTCCCTTGACTCCAGAAGTACCTGACTTATAAGCAGCTCAGGATATTCCTTGGGGGTAGATTTCTCCAGCAACTCCACAGTGGCTTCTTAGTGGGGATTTTCCAGCAGGGTACCTCCTATTAAAAATTTCTTCCTGTACTCCCTGGGAGGCTTGTCGCCTCGGTGAACTTCTCCACTCTCTCATGAGCCATAGATATACCCACCATCTAAAAAGAGGTCTGGGTGTTCTCCACACTTCAGGAAATGAGTCTTTCCCTGTAGTTCATGATCTC